TATGTGTGTGTGTGTGTGTGTGTATAATATATATATATGTATGTGTGTGTATGTGTGTGTATATATGTATATATATATGTATATAAAAAAAAAAAAGCATAGTTTCCTGATTCTGTTTTACTGAGTTGGCATCTGTGAACATGTTTCATGTCCTGTAGTAGAATTTGGATATAGATGAATATTCAAATCAAGTAAGCTAGTCCATCTGCCCTCTGAGTTTCTGCCAATGGACCAGAAGGCCACCTGAATATAATGCTGCAGCTGCTTAGTTAAGCCACTTATTCTTGTGATTGAGATGGTCTGCTTTTGGTTTTATAATGTACAGGTGCAGTGGTTAGGCAGAGTAGCTGATTATCGGTGGGATGTTTGTACCATTTGATATTTAGGCTCGGATCTGTGCTAGCAAATTTTCTGCCTCAGTAGTCAGCTGAGATGGGGTGGTGAAAAACTCTCATTGTGCGCTTGTCTGGACTATCCAGCATTGAGATGACTCTGTCAGTGACCCACAACACCTGTCAACACTATACGGAAAAATCTTTCTTGAAGACTAGTAGGCCTAAGGCAGGTTCAGGGGCACCTTAAAAACTAACTGGTTCAGAGGTACTGTGTTAAGGTTTCATTGGCAACAGCCTACATTGTTGGATAGCAGTTGACTTTAGACTGCTGCAGTGAACACTGTCTCTCTCCTTGAACTGTTAGTGAGGCAAACAGTTGGAATGTTTATTCCATTGCTTGCAGTTGGGGACCCCGTGTGTGCAAAGCCTTTTGACCTTCTTGGAGTCCGGAGTCTCAGGAAACCTAAAGTCACGTATGTGCCATACATAGTTGCATAGATTAAGGGTCGGAAGGGACCTAATAGATCTTCTAGCCTGACCCCCCGCCAGGCCGGGAGAACAACAAAACCCCAAAACAAGAAATGGGACTCAAATGAGTCCAGCCAGGTAGGCATCCAGCCTCTTCTTAAAGACCCCCAGGGTAGGGGCCAGCACCACTTCCCTTGGAAGTTGGTTCCAGCTCCTAGCCGCCCTAACTGTGAAGTAGTTTTTGCGGATGTCCAATCTATACCTCCTCTCCATCAACTTGTGCCCA